CAGGGATTAAGCTCAGCAGAACAGTGCCTGCCTGGCAATGTGAGATTGTGAGTTTGATTTCCAGTTTAAAATAATTGCATGTACATGTGAATTCCCTACTTCAAATAGATCAGTATGTACATTTAACAGGCAGCCCTGTTGCAAGTTGTCCTTTACAGTATTTATTTCACCTTCTTTTATTTAAATTCCTATCATAACATCCCACTTTTAGCATTAAGGTATAGAAGATAATGTATTAAACAGTTTATTCATTTATCACATGACTAGATAGAGGACAGTAGTTTACAAATGCCTGGCAAATGTGCTAACAATTATTTTCATCAAAGCCAATGCTAAAATGTGTGCTAAAATTTACATATCTTGAAGCTTTAAAAAATTTATGTGATTTTTAAACATTCTAATTGACTTTGGAATTGTGAGAGTGTGTTCATTAATTTTTGAATTCACCATCATTACAATGAAACAATGTGGAGGACACAATTTGTCTGCTTGACACCTCATATTTAAACTCTCATTTAATTTAGCATAGTTAGATGTCTCTTACACTTTCAATAACTGGGATAAAATATCCAACAAAATACTTGACTTTATCCACCATCACAAGGGATTCCAGATTTATGAAAAGTAATCCTAGCAAGGGGGCAGAATGAAAGTTGCATACAGCTCCACCTTCAATCTCTTCCCTGTGAGAAGGCATAGATTTAGCATAATTTTACATAATATCCATTTCCTTCTCAAGGATTGAAATGTTATCTCTTGTGGCTTACTTATTTTCCAAACTAATGTGCTCAAGTTGACACCCCTGTTGCTTAGACTTCTACTGTCACTTTTCGTGTGTCTAGGTTATTGTGTTAGACACCTAGGTTATTAGGAAAGCCATGTCTGGATGTGGCTTCATATCACAAGGAAGCATGACCTATGAGATTACATCACGTGCATGGCCCCTGCCTCTCAGGCTGTCTCTGTTGAGGAATCTCCACTGGAAGGATGAAGATTTAATTCTGACAGCATGAGCAAAATTGAGGCAAATATTCTAAGGCAATGGCAAACACCTGTTGTCATGCACAGTAAAATAAGAGATTTGTTTTCACCTTAGTATCCCACCTTTTTGAACTCTTTCTGTATGCTCACACAACTGTGAATGCAGTCAGTACTCTAATAATTCCTAGATAGCTTAGAAGCTTCTCTCCATTTAAAAAGATGAGACTGCCAAAAGTTGGAACCCTCCTGAGGCTGAATCACACCATTCAACTGAAATTATAAACCTAAAACCATTTTGCAGAGATAAAATGAAAAGATGTATTACAGGAATAGTTGCTATGTCTAATCCTAACTCTAATGCTAACCACTCAGCTCAGTTTCTGCTGATATAAAATTTTCATTTTATCTTCTTGTCTGGGGGATACATGTCAAGCATTGTGAGCAGACTACACCACATTAGTACAATAATAATTAAAACATCCAGGGAAATGAACACACAAATTTCCAACATTAGTATTCATGATTCCAATCAGGATTGCAAGGCTCTCTTGACAGATCTACTAAAAAGAAAAAGGTGAATACAGCTCTCTAAACTGGAAACAACTGCATAAGACTCATGTTCTGCAGGGGACAATATGAAGACTGGAAGCAATGGCACAAAAGTTGTTGTTTTTCAAAAACAAAATGACTTGATCAACCTAAAAGTAACTGTCAAAAAATGCATTGAATATGCACAAAAGCAAACCTACTGTTACAAATACTTTTGCTATGCATTAATTTTTTTCCAACTCAATACAAATGCCTTTATCTGTATTTTGATATAGCAGAAAGACTAATTTATAATACAGCACTAAACTTCGTATGTATCTTACTGAATGCAGAACACTGTTAATCCCTGGTTTTTCACCTGGTGTCCTTTTTCTGAGACCAGAGACGCATCTCTGTATCCCATGACATGAGCATATAAATTGCAGTGTGCCATGTATCACTAGTAGTAAATATTTGTTAACTTAAAAATTCAATATTAAGTTTAAACTGCAAGAAATTTAGGTCTGAGTGTCCCATGGACTTTAGAAAAGATAATTTGCGGTGGGTGCAAACCCTCAAAGTGCATCTCTTTTTAAAGAATCTTTTGTTCAGTTATCTGGTGTGGCTTTAGATTTGAAACACTCTTAACTCTCTCAAGTGTCTGGCATTAAATTTCTGCACCACCATGACTCAGTGTTGTTTACTTTACCCCAACACTGAAACATTGGTGAAATTCAGTAGCATAAAAAATGAAAACACTGCTCCAAGCATGGTAGTGCATGCCTGAAACCTAGCACTACAGTGGATGATGCATGAGACTGAGGTAAGGACAGTGTGAACTACAGAAGGAGACACATTTCTCTCCACCAAAGCAGAGGCACAGCATTGTAACTAACAAGGTGGCACATGTCTGTCAACTTACCACTGGCAGATGAGCGATTTAGAAATATTACAGGCAGTCAGCAGACAGCCCTAGGCTCTTGAAGGAGCTAGCACAGATAACCAGATGTCTGGTGACTTTGGAGGAGACTCACGCCTATTGCAGTGGGCTAGATCTTAAGATAGAAGACAAAAGAAATGCAACCACCCCTTAAGTATAATGCTAAAGGATTAGGTATTAATCAACTTGAGAAGCCAGAAGTCACCATTCCAATATCCTACAGGAAGAGTCACTGATTCCTAAAGAATGCTTGCTTCCTATGTGACTGGCTTCCCTATTTGTTCCTGATTTGTCAATTTTACCTCAACAATTAAACTTTTAGGCTGACCATCGCTCTTTCCCACCTCAGGTCTGCCTGCCTTGTGGGTTCTGATGTAGTTCTTTCTTTTTACTTGCCTCACCACATAGTTTTGCTCTATAAAATTTCTTATAAAGTACTGAGCCATTGGCAAACCACTTGGGACCCCTTTTGTCTGTCTGTCTCTCTCTCTCTCCAATCGAAGCTTTCTTTCTTTCCATAAATACTTCTGCTTTTAGCATTTGTTTTTCCTACAGTTAATTCATTATATTAAAAGAACATGAACTTGTACTGGACATATAGTAGCTTGAGAGTTTCATTCCTCTGTAACAAACTTAAGAGTCAGAATTCTGGCAAAATCTCAATACATCTTGCCACCTTGGGCAAAGTAGAAAGACCTCATCTCAAAATGCAGCCATTTTTTTAAAAAAAAATAATTATTTTTTTCAAATTTGGAAGAATGTAAAGGCCAAATTTCTGAGGTCAGTCACTGCACAATAAGAAACATCATACAGGCCTTGAAATCTTTGGTTCCAACAGTTAATCCTTTCCATGCTACTTTAGACATGATGTTCAACATATTTTCAAACCTTCAATACTAGTGTCTTAATTTCCTATCTTACCTGAGAGAGAATTAGATGAGCTGATCAGTATACACAGAAGGAGTATCTAACCATGACCAAGTTTCCATCCTTTCTATATGCCTCTGAACCTTTTTCCATTCTGGGACCTACCAAGCAGACAATCCATTAGTGCTGTTACAATTGGTCAAGTTCACTTCAGAAGTTCTTTCCTGTTCTGGCTGCTGATTGGGCCGCACTCCACAAGCCCTCACTTCTCCCATTTCCTTTCAATTAGCACTTCTCATTCAAAAAAATACTTTTCTCCTTATTTTTTAATAATGATGCAGATCCTGATTATGTGAATATACCTGTAATTTAGTGAAAAGTCCAACTCGGTTTTGCAATTTTTTTTCTGTCTTTTTGAGACAGGGTGCCACAATGCTCAGGAAACATTTGAGCTGACTTCATAGCCCAGGCTTACCTTAAACTTTCAAGGATCCTCCTGTATCAGCCTCCTGAGTGCTGGGATTCATGGCAATGCCACCATACCCCACTCAGTATTTCAAATTGCATGTCATAATCTAAGCATAGCCCTAAGGCACAGCCATTCTCTCAGAGGGGATGCATTTCTCTATCTATTCTCCTATTTATCACATCTCTACATCCATGTAGACACGAGTTTGCTGTGTTTCTCAGTGTGAGATTAACAAAGAGCACCTACATGAAGTTATTCTCTGCAGGAACTTTCCCCACAGGAGCTAATGCATCATCACCCACCAAATACTTCACAGCATTCTAAACTCCATGGAAATTCTTGCTTCAGTGGTTCAATTTTTTTCAAAAAATGTGTTGGTTTTATCAGCTTATAAATTAGGAATTATTTTTAAAAAGGGTGTGAGGTAAAGTTGCAAAATTAGTGGCCTTCATAGAATCAAAATGGAATAAACAGTGACCTAGGGCTTTGAATGGGCAGCTAATTTTCTCCCCCACAATAAAATGCAGATCTCAGTCTACTATGGTTACTTGCAGCTGCTAATTACTAAACTAGTGAGATAATAGAAATGTAAACATGAAGAGCCAGTTTATCTCTAAACCCTGTTTCCTGTAGACCATACAGAATGAAGAAAAGGAATAGAGAACCTGAGCTCAAAGTATTTCTTTTTCTGAGTGAAGAGACTCAGAAATCTAATCTCCTCACACTGGAGGCTGATGGAGGACTGTGGCCCAGAGTTCAAGGTCAGACCAGACTACACAGACATGCTCTGTATCGAAGCAATAAAAAGTAAAACAGAAAAGAAAATAGAAAATGAAAGATAAATGATAGATAGATAGATAGATAAACAGACAGACAGACAGACAGACAGACAGACAGAGAGATAGATAGATAGGGGTCTATTTTAAATCCACATTGCTATGTGTACCTGGAGGGCTGACTACCCATGTGGGAAGCATTCCAGAAGTCAAAGAGCTCTTCTCATTTCTTATTTTGGTTCCAGAACTCAACATTTAGTATTATGAGATTATGAGTTCTGTTTATGAGGTAACATCACTGAGAGGAGAGTTTTCACAGAAGGAAATCATAGGATAATATTTGCTCATTTTGAGAACAGAATTCAGTTTTTCCCTCAAACCACTGCTTACTCCAAACACAGCTGTGCCTGTGGCTGCCCAAAAGACCTTCTGGACTTACAGTGGTTCTGCCTTTTTCCTTCCAAAACTTACACAATTCCATCCCATTCGCAGCTCCAACATGAACAAGTTACCATTACCATTGCGATGCTTGAGGTTGTCCGAGTATCCTTTGCAGCCCTTAATAAGAAGTCACAGAAAGTAAAGGTGTGTTCAGCTCCAGGCTCTCAACACTGAACTCAGAATGAGTACTTCTGCACCAGGATCAGGAAGATCCCTCCTCCCTTGGTACCTGATTGGGTGTGCAGCCAGCCCAACCTTTATCAATGATTGGCTCCTTAGCCTGTCTCTCTCGTGTGATTCAACCCTCATGTTCCAGGATTAATACTTCCATTTAAGGGCTTTACTGGTGGATTTTCAAAGCTGTCCTGGGTTTTCTTGAAGTCTTAGTGCACTCACCTGAAGTTGGGTCCTAAATGTTCCCAGGTGAATGTCCTCTGGAAGAACCAATCCCTTCAGGACAGAAAAGATTATTTGGCCAGGTCAGACCAGGACTAACTGGAATGGGTTGTGGCTGCTGTCATGAATGGCGCCATAAAATTTATTTCCCAGATTGTCACAGGGTCTCTCTAAGTCTGCTCATTTTCATAAAATAATTGGTACACATCCACCAAGAGAACTCCATTATAGCATGAATGAAGAAACTACACAAAAACAGCAACAAGTTTCTGGGAAAAAGTAAACATGAAGGAAAATCAAGCAGTCCACCTGCTTCACAAAAGCTTCACACTGTATCCAGTGTCATAAATCATACCTAAATTTTAAAGATAAACCTAGCCACACTTGAGGATCACAATGATTGCTGAAACAGTGTGTGTACTTGATCCACTAGATCACTTCCTTGTATTAAGTATGGAAAGAGAAAACGCTTTAGACTATAAGTGAAAATATATTTGGTTTACATGGATATAGCCCACTTTAAGATCATTATATTAATGCACTAGCCTTTCAACTAATGTTAGACTTCACTTCATATCTAATTTTGTTTTAACCAAGTCATAAATTTTAGATGTAAAACACAGAGAGCATGAAAGAAAATATAGTGAACCTGAAGTAGGAATATGAAGGCAGGCAATGGTACCAGAATTGGTATCTCAGGGCCTGGCACAAGTTCCAGGGAAAGGAGTTTTTGCCTCTTTAATCAATGCTACCAGGGACCAAGGCCCTAAGTTATCTGGCCACTACCTTCTCACAAGTAGATGTCTGACCCTCGTTTCTTGTCTTCCTTCCAAAAGAAGTGTTTACATTTTCCATTTCAATTGTGCTATCTCTAAGCCCTTATTTTTATGAATGTTACATTCACTATTTACCATAGGGCAGGGGTAGTGTATGCACCCCCACCTGTGACTAAGTCACAGAAAATCAAAAGAAAATCATTTCTTTTCTTTTTTATGGATTCCACTTATTGAGCAGCCTAAACCTTTTTTCTTTTCTTTTTTACTCTAAGTAAAATAAGGGAAATATCCCTCCTAAGGTCTAAGCTTTTCTACAAAGCTACATTTCTCATCATTGTGAGTCCATAGGCTCAGTTTATGTCAGATTAACAGGTTCAATAATTTTCTCTGCAGTGATTACTGCTTGGCTATTGCTAATAGTTTTGCTCTCTACCTAATAACGGTGCCTCTTGAATAAGAGAGTTTCTTATAAGTATGCTGATGGAGTTTTTAATTACCAATCATATACCATCAAGATTTAATGTGATGGGTGTATCTGACATCAAGTGTACAATTTTAGTTTTCAAGCACCAAGCTTCTGACTTTTCTGAGCCCCTAATTCACTCTTTAGAAATGATTGGAAATCTGGCACTAGCAGATTCTATATTATTTTCCTGCATAAAAATAGGCACACTCTCTCTGAGACAACCTCCACAGTGCACTGGCACTTTATTGGTCCTCATATTAAACAAATTTTGTTATGAATGCTCTGGATTCCAGAGTGTTTTTGTATGTACAAGAAGAGACAGTAACTGAAGCTTTGCCATTCTGTATTTATGTTACCAAACTTTCTCTCACTGTGATAAAATATTTGAAAAATTTATATATACTGGAAATGGAAATTTTAGTGCAGGTGCATTTTATACCACATTTTCTGAAGATTAGACCATGTGCGGAATGTGAGACAGAGCACAGTCACTTACCTCATATTGATACAGATGTAGAATAGACATGAACAAGCTACATCGAAGGAGGAAGGTTCTAAGGGCACTATATATGTGTTCATCTGTGTGTCTGTGTTCCTGTTTCTGTATATTTGTGTGTTTGTGTGTGTGTTTGTGTTTATTTGTTTATGTGTCTTTGTCTATGTATTTGTGAGGACACAGGGATTCTACATTCCCCCCAGGAGTCCCTTTTCCCTTCTTTCTCTACATAATTCATGACCGGTGTCACAGTGAAGCTCAGAATCTCTTTTCCCTATGTTCAATTGTCTGTCTCCACATGGTTGTTCTGTCTGTGCACACCAATCTCACTCCCTGTGTCTTTCACACAGTGGTGCACAGCAGAGTCCTTAAGATCACAGAGGGAAGCTGCCACAAAACAGACTGTTGGCCCGATCTCTGGAGTTGAATGCATTGCATTGAATCAATGCCAATAGTAAACACAACCTCCACCACCTGTGTGTACAAGTCAATTCCAACCCCAGAAATTGCTCAGGATGACATATAAGAGACAACACATGCTAATAACTGACAATGTTATGTAAAAACCTAGTATAAAATGATTGCTTTTTGACTAGAGATGTTCTGTACTGCTGCCTTCCATCCAAGCAGAGCACTCAGAGATAGCATACCTCACATGTCCTGTATCCAGCTCAGATGACACTATGTCCAGATCTCACATGATCTGTCCTCTCTCTGTCACCTAACCTTTCGTGTTACACAGGCAATCACCAGGATTTGTGTTTTAAGATGCAGAGAAAACACCATGTTTTCATTCATTAGTTGGCATGGTTTTATTCTGGTTTGTTTGATTTTGTTATCTATGATGGTATGAACAGATATTTTAAAGAAAACAAAACATTAAAATAGCCATTGCTGATTTAATATCATCTTGGTTTGAAGTGATACCATGCTTTTTTTCTTATGTTTCCATTGGTTGTATCATGTTTTATTTTAATGGATTTTATTTTGTGCAATAGTATACACATTTTCTATGGAAAATGAGATAATAGAGTAGCCATTGCTTGATTTGGTTTTTTGGTTCTGAATGCCCTGTAATTCTTTCATTCTCCTGAATTGTTTTTTACTGTTTTGTTATGTTTGATACTATCATATGTGAAGGTAAGCTCAACTATTTCAAAGAAAGAGACATTATGGTAGCTACTGTTAATATGCGGTTGTCTTGTGGTGAAGTACTGTGTTGCTTACATTGTTCTGTTATGATCTATTTTGTTCTGTAATCTTTTGTCTTAATCTCTTTAAATAAAAAACTAATAAAATATATACCACTGATAAATGCAGAATTAACATACAAAAGAGACTTATAAAATAGACTAAGTGGGTAGAGTTATAATAGTGAACAGAGGTTTAGGAAGTAAATTAAATATATGAAACTGGAGTATTTGTTATCACATATTCTCCACTTATAAATGATTTAAATGAGGGCAGATAGAGAAAATGAAGGAGGGAAAAGAATAGAGGGGGAAAGAGGTTGTTTACACTGTACCATGCTGTATTTTATGACTTTCTAAATTCTAAGGTCTGAAAGGAAAGTGGAAACCCAGGTCCTGCTTGTGCTCTTGGGCAGAAAGTGTTCACTGAAGCCCATGGACTCTGCCCTGAGATCAGCTAGCTATCTGCCTGCTCTCCTCTCCTCCCTGAGGAAAGGACTCCTATTGGGGCTGGGCTGAGCTTGGGTATCAGATATTCTTATATTGCCACGGTGGGGATTGTGTCATGTCTTTTCAGATCTTATAAACAGGTATGTCATGGATTTAATTTCCTTCTCCTATGCAATTATTTTGGCATTTGACATATCACCAGACTAAACTTAGCAAATTCTTTTTTAGATCATGTTCATTCAACATTTTTTGTCTTTTGGAGACATGATCTCACTATGCAGTTAAGGCTGGCTTTGCGCTCCCTTTGCTGCCTAGGCTGGTCTCACACTTGCAATTGATTCCCCTGCCTCTGCATCCAAAGTGCTAGGATTAGAAGAATGAGCCACCACATCGGTTAATTTGACATTTAAAAGAAATCTCATTTCACAAAATTTTTAAGTTTCCTTGAGATGGCAATGGATGACCATTAGGTGAAATTCCTAAATATAAAATGAAAAAATTACGTGCATGTATATTCATTTATACAATTAATTTTAAACGAGCATGTTTACTTGACCTCAGATAGGTCAAAAGTCACTTGAAGGCTACGTATTTCAGGGTCTCTTCAGGTCACAGGATGTTAAAACAGAAAGAAAATCCTAGAGGCCAAATGAAAGCCCTCAGTGCCAGCTTCCTTTCCTGCACCTGTGCCTGTTGCCTTTCTTTCCAGGCGGAAACAGCGCCCCCTTCTGGTTCCGAGTCAGGAGAGTTTTTGTATGGGTTCACAGTGATGTCCCCTCACTCTGTGTCTGCTGCAGTGTGATACAGAGCCAAGTCCTTGGGTCTTAGGCTACTCATTTGCAGTTAGAGCGTGTCCTTACTATTGCTGGTGAGGTGGTGAATTAGCCCTTCATGGAGTCTGCGTTGCCGACATACCTACTATCATAATTGACACATGCCTTCCACTCTAGCTCCTTCCTTGGAGGCTGGCAGAACCAGTGCCATAGCTAGTGAAAGTGAATCCAGAAGCTGCACAGGAGAGTTTTAGGAAGCCCTCAGACTGCACCAACCCTCCCCTGACTCCACAAGCTGCTCATCAGCCTAGACACACGAAAACAAAAGAACATCCTGGTCAGGAAACTTTCATACATGTCCAGTGTTTATCCCACTCATGACCACTTTCCCTTCCCTTATTGCTTGTTCACAATTTACCTTTCAGAAGTGCAAAGAGGAAAACCCAACTCAGCCCCAAATCCACAGTGATTGTGCTCAGTTCTGATCACTTAGTGGTAATAGTTGGCCATCCAGGACTCAGCTTCTGTCCAGAGCTCAGGATCAGGCCTGGGCTTGTTTTCATGGGCATAAGGAAGCTTCATTTGCATTTATTCCTGCTTTATGAATAGCGCTGTTATTGGACTCTCAGACAGTGTCCACAGCAAATGTGAGTGCATTGGGCAAGTCTGATAAAAAAACATATTCAAGATAATATGATCGCTAGTGTGATAGTACTCTGTTGTATTTTTAACTATTCATCAGCTTTCATTTTTGTCCATATACTCAGATTATGCTTTTTATATTAATGAACCTTGGTTTCTGAACATGTGAAATATTGAGTGCTATTAACAGTTGTGTCCTCCACTTAGGATCTGAAGCTGTGTGAATGTCTTTCCTGTTTTGTAGGTTTATACTCTTTTGAT